GGATAAAACTACCACCATTCGATTCATCTCAGTGAGACGATTCTAACAAGCTATGATACATCTTTGTACGATTATTAGATGCCAAGTTATTTAATATATTCTTTATATAACTGTGATTATAAACAGTTATTTTTAATATAAGATTTTTGAGGATAGGTGTGATAGTGACTATAAATAGATTGTGACTATATAGGATAGATTTTAATAATAAAGTGTTTTGAACATTCAACTGGTGTGACTATATAGTAGAATGTAACTATAATGGGAGTGACTATAGAGGGAGTTGACTGTATAGATGTTTAAAACAAAAAGAAAAAAAAAAGGAGATTAAAAATTAATCTTAAGAAAGTTAAAGAAAATCTTAATGAAGATAAATATATTGATCCTAATAGAAAACTTAATCAACTTAACCTTTTCAGTGGTTTAGAAAGTTTACAATCAAATTTATATTTTGGAATGAATATGCAGGATTTTATAGTTTTAGTTAACTATGCTTTGCTCTTTTTTTATTAATTAGGGAGGTATGTAGTTGACTGATGGTCAGTAGTTAAAAGGAGGTGAAATAAAAAATTAATTTTATCCTAGGAGTCAGGTTTTTAGAGCAAGGTTGATAGAACGTCTTAAATGTATGTTACTATAGTAAGTCTCAAATCCAGTTTAAAACTTATAAAAGAAACTAGTTGGTTAGTATTCATTAGTTTAGAATCTAGTACCTGCAACTATTATTATAAAATTTTGTATATTTGTATGGTTCATTACAATTTATCGTTAATAAAAAATAAAAAATAAAAAATAAAAAGACAAATCAGCCCATATATAGAGTACAAATTATGATCTCATGTAGTCGCAATTTTTTGAAGTAAGGAAATTTTTATAAATCACCAAAATTAAGCATTTCTATAATAAAAAAAAGGGTGCTTAATTTCAGAAGTATATGGTAGGTTCAATATTAAAATTTTTAAAAATTGCTATGGTGCCAGAAGTCTATATTTGACAATCACGTGATTTTGTTTCAATTTTCTGAGAACTGAACCCTGAATCACATGACTCAAAATCGACCAATAAAATCCGAGATTTGAAATTTCAATTAGATTTTTACACGTAAAAACGTTATGTGTTTTCATTTTAATTTTAATTTCACTGTAGGAAAATGACACTTTTCAGCAACATGAAAGCAGTTAATACTGCTATAAAAGTTATACCAGTCAACCATAAAAGCAGTTAAGTATGTAAAATATGCATTAATTAATGCCTTTATTATTAATATGTACTTATGTATTATCTAACTGATCCATTATTCTTTCAATATTTTCAGGTAAACGACGATGTGATTTATATTTATTAACAGCCCACTCGGCAGTCCTACCTTCCAATCCTTTATTGTATGCATCCATGTATCTCCATAATTTGCATGCAAACTTGCAGATAGTTGTTACAAGAACACTTATGAGAACTTCTGGAACCTGTATCAATAAATCATTGAAATTATAATTGCATATCCGCCTTATTTCCCATTTTGCAAAACCCCATGCCAGTACCGTTCTATAAAGTTGCATTCACAATAGAATTTTGGGTAACGCTCAAAAATATGTCCTGCTTTAATTAATGCCTCTTCCAATATTGACCATTGTTCACAAAAATCTGGTTGCAGTGACATTATTCTTCGTGCACAACAGTCTAGTCTTTCCAGATCAATATTATCATCTTGTTTTCCTGAACACTGCTTACACATCAAACGAATACTTTTCTCTGACCAAAGGTTACGTTCTGTAAGTACTTGCTTGATGATATCCTTTGGTTTTCCTTTTAGTTTATGATTACCTGGAAATACTATTAATTGTGTCTGCTTCTCTCCATTTTTATTGATATACCATCCATCACGCATTTTAGGTTGTGCTCCTCCAGGATTCAAGTTGATTCTTGTCGCAATTAGTGCATCAGCTGCCATTGCATTGTGATTTGTAGATTGATTAAACAGAAAACTCCAACACAACCAGGGTGCAGTATCTCAAATATTGGAATAGCTTGATGCACGAGCTATTTTTGCAAATGAAAAATCCTTAATCAGGGTTTGTTTTTTTTTCTTTGTTTCTGAGATTTCCAACCATATTTAATCTTACCTGATCTAACATATGCTCTGATTTCCAATATCCATCTGTTTGTATAGAACGAATAACAAAAGCCTCTTTATTTTTTATGTGTGAATTTTCCTGTAACTGTTCATTGGATAATCGTAGTAACCCGTGACATGGACAAAGGAAGGCTGAAATCATGATGGAACATCCCTGGTGCTTTGAGCGTAGGATATCTTCATTTTCTCTCATTCAGATTTTTCGTTACCTATTATTTGCATGTGTCACTTGGATTAGTTCTTTTTCTCCTGGCTTAAACTGGGATTCTGAAACAATATCCATCATATCACCATTAAATTCTTTTATAAACTTTTGATATTCAAACATCCTCTTCAACTATTCCTTTCTGTATAGCACTACGTCCAGTCGCTCATGCCCATCATAATAAACTCCCTTTCTTCTTTCATCATACTTATATCCCCACAAATGTATGTAATTTCGGCAAGTTTTCTCAGAAATCGTGTCTTTTTTAATATGACCCGTTAATTTAGGAAATATTATTCCTTCAATATACATTTTCAGGTTTCCAGGGTATGCGATTCTGGTTTTTGTTGTCGCAACCATGTTAGGCATTCTTCCTTAAAGTCTTCATCATTTAGCAAACTTTCCAATTTTGTATGTTTTCCTTGATGATAGATAAGAAGCTCTTCTATCTGTATAAAGTGGGCTCCCCATTTTCGAATACATCTTGCAATATAATCACCTTTAACCCACATGGTTTGTGCAATTTGATTACTGGCATCCATTTTACCCTGACCATCTAATAATAATTGTATATACCTACGTATACTTATTAGACGACGTAAATAATCATAGGTAAAAACATTTTTATTTGTTTTTGCTGATTTCGTTATTGAGCATTGTTGATTTATTTCTTTTAAACGTATTTGTAGATTTCTTGTAAGCTCTTCAGTAATTAAAGAACGATTTTGTGTTTCGGAAAATAAAAATGGAGATGGAGGTGAAAATTGTAGCTGCAATGATTGTGGTGAGGGCATACTAGTTGATATTTCAGTACTTGTAAATAATGTATCAAGCGTCCTTATTCCCTTTGTATCAAGTGCCAATTCTTCTTTTTTTTTTGTTTCTTCAGACTGTATCTCTCAAAGTGCTGCTCTAATACAACTTGTAGCATTTTCTTGCCAACAAAGAACTTCAGCAATATGTCTTTTTCCTACCTTTTCAAACTCTTCATTTGTCCAATCATTAATATTCTCATCCTCTATCCAATTTCTGCCAATTTCACTCTCTTTCCTTTCTTCAACAGCCTCTATCTCAGTTTCTGCTTGATCTTTTGATATGTAACAACTTCTTTTTCTAGATATTTGGCTAACCTGTAATTGTCTTTTGGTTTTGTGTGGCATTTTAAAAGAATGATTATTGGCTATTTGAATAAAAGTTTCTCACTTACATGTGAAAATCAAAAAATTTCTCATGATCACTCATTTCTCTCATGAATATAGTTCGGGCCGGCACTAAAATTATCATAACTTTGGCTCGAATTATAAAAAATTTTGGCCAATAAAATCGCATTCACGTGATATGATTATT